TTGTGTTCTTACTCATGAACATTTCCCTTTGCAATTCGGGGTTGGCTGGATACCTTGTACTGCCTACATTGGTTTCTGGATTGTGCAATCCCTCAAGCCTTTGCCTGAGAAAATTGCAGATGGATGAACAGACAGACAGACACTATCTTTAACTCTAGCGAACATGCTAAGGCATCCCTCAGCCTTCCCATTTACGCCAAAATTTCAAGAAGCGTTCATCTGTCAAAAGCGTTTGCTTAAAAGCATCCATCTTGGAGTCATCCTTGGAAAAGCGCTTTGGCAACATAGCTGCACACTTACGCCAGAATTTCTGGAAGCGCTCATCAGTCAAGTAGAGTTGCCGGAATCGTTCCATCGCTGAGCGGTCCTAGTGCAACGGCAAAAGGAACAAAAATCTGGACACTGGACAGTGGACATATGACTCCTTTGGGAATCCTCCCACAGTGTGTACAAATGCAGAATAACTGATTGAACACAGAACAACTAATTGAAGAATCATCTAAGGCTTACAAACCAAAGAAAGAATAACTCCACCCAGAATGCCCACAGTCCGCTCTAGTTCAAATTCCAGTTGATAGAAAAAGTAACTGGACTAATTGATTCGCCCAGAGTCAATACAGAGTTAGAAACAGTTATTGGCCTCAGATCCAACATATATATATATACATAATAGTTTCTACGTAGTTTCTAGTGTCAACTTGGAAGGAATGTGTTTGTGTCCTCTGTCCTCTAGTCCAGGTCCTGCCCAGCTGCTTTCCTTGGAATCTTCGGCTGTCTTTGCCGCTCAATCTTTTTCCTCTCCCTGGTAACTTCTTTCCTCAACTGTTCTGTTAGTTCCATGGCAACTGCATGCGAATCTTTGCCACTTGCTTCCAAATCTAGTGATGCTTGCTTCTTACTGCACTTCGTTTTTGCAGCAGTCACTTTTGGTTTGGCAGTTGCCTTCTGCTTCGGTTTGGCACGTGGCTTCGGCCTCGACTTGGGCGTCTGCGGCTTCGACTTTGGCGTGGCTTTTGCTTTAGCCTTGCCTTTTGGGTTCGCCTTGGCCTTTGCCGTTGCCTTGGGCTGCGGTGGCTCTGGCTCTGGAGGCTCTGGATCCTCCTTGTCAGAGTCACTGCCATCACTGCCACTGCTGCTAGAAGAGCTGTTGCTTGTGTTGTTTGGTGATGCTTGCGAATCAGCTGCAGGTTTGTCGTCAAGCTTTGATGGTTGAAAAGTATTCTCATTCTCATCGTCGGAATCGCTCACGTCTACTGCAGCTGCTGCTGATGATTCTGATGCAGCTGTTGCCGGTGCTGTGTATGATTCTGCAGATTGGAGAGTTGCTGCTGCATAGCCTGCCACTGCTGCTGGTTCTGGTGGTGTGCCAGTGCCTTGAGCCGCTACTGGTGCTGTGTATGATTCTGCCTTGCTGTGAGGTGCTGCTGTTTCCTCCTGGCTGGAGAGGATCTCAAGAAGTTCACCAACGCCCAACGTAGTCTCAGTAGTCTCTTCCCTGATTCCACCAGTTTGTTCTGTTTTTGTGTCGGTGTGGAAATTGGCATTGCCAACGCCTTGTGTTGGTGTTGGTGTGCCTGTTGGCAGTTCTGGGACTGCTGCTGCCGCTGTTGGCTGTAGTTCTCCCGGGTTGGCTGGGCAAGCACCAGACAAAGTGCTCACTGCTGCTGTAGGCTGCGACTGCGACAAAGCACCTGGTTGTAGTTGTTGCTCCTGTGTCTCGGCTGCTGTTTTATGATTCTCTGGTGGTGGTGCCGGGTGTGGTGTTGCTTGTGGTGGTGCGGATTGGTTTTGCTCCGTTGCCAAAGTATTTTTTTCACCTGACTCTGTTGGCTGGTGCACTGCTACCGCTGCTGCTGCAGGCATTGTTTGGTCATTCGGGCCAGCTGCCCCCGTTTCATTTGTTGGCTGCATGCCCTGCTTCTGCTGAATGTCAGCACTTGCCGCCGGTGATGCATGTGTTTGACCAGGCTGTGTTGTCCCAGCTGATGCTGCTTCAGCTTCAGGTGTGATTGGGTGTGTCTCCGCTGCTAAGGCAGTTTGTTGATCTTCCGCTGTGTGCTGCTTCTCATGCTCTAGTGACTCTAGTGACTCTTGTGGCAATGTTGGTGGCGTTGCTTGCAGTGGTGTGATTTGAATTTGGCTTGCTGATAGTGATAGTTTGCTTGCCGAATCAGCCGCCTGTGTTGGCTGATGAAGCTCTGCTGCTGTAGCTGCTGTTGCAGGCATTGTTTCGCCAGCTGCCCCTGTTTCATGTGTTTGCTGCGGCTGCATGTTCTGCTTCTGCTGAATGCCAGCACTTGCCGGTGATGCAGGCTGTTTTGTCCCAGCTGATGCTGATTCAGCTTCAGCATCGGGCGCTGGTGGTGGCATTGCTTGCGGTGGTTGGATTGGTGACGACATGTTTGCCAAAGCATCTTCACCTGGACTTTGCTGATGTGTGCTTGTTGGTGCTGGAGGCAGTACTTCAGCAGCTAAAGCTGCTGGTGAAGCTGCAGGTGCTTGAGCTTGCTGTATGTGCTCATGAACTTGAACGTTTGCTGGTTCTTGATTCGCTGAGTAGTGTCCATTTGCCAAGGCATTGTTGTTGTTGTTGTTGTTGCCAACGGCTTGGTGCTGCTCTTGCCATTGTGCCTGTTTCTTGGCTGCTGCATCTGCTAATGGTAGTGCTGGTGCTGCTGGCGTTGTGTCCATGTCTTTGATGCATAGCAGCTGGTGTCGGTTAGGCAGGGGTAGAAACGGAGTCTCCTCATCATTCGGCTCGTCCTGTACAAGCTTTAGTTGGACAACCATGACAATCCTGGTGGGTGAAAGAATGCCTGAGGGCCTAAATGCTCATATACTAGTGTGATGGTAAACCAAAAAACGCATTTTCTTGTTCAGTTCTTGTTCTATAATAGTTCTATACTCTAGACATCTCTAGACTCTAGACAATGACAACAAATAAATCCTCGCTCTTAGACAATGAAAACAGCTGTCAGTTTTGCTCATCCTGTCCTTCACCATCGGAATGAGCTCAAGGAGTTTGTCGTAGATTCTTCTGGACGCCTGTGGGGCACTGTGGGGCAGTGTACATACACCAACCCCTACCGCCCACACCAGCAAAACAAACCATTGTAGAAATTGCACAGTGCACTGCACATATGAACAAAACAAAACTGCAGCATACACACAGAGCAACAGCGCCTGAAGCATGTGCTCGACAGTCTTTTGGCTTGGCTCGCAGATCACGGCAAGAAGCGTGTCAATACTGTTGAGAGTTTTTTTGAATGCTCTCGCTCTGGCATTCCCAACTAGTCATTGCCACCCAACTCAAAGAAGTGTGAATGTCGTCCTCACTTCCTCCGTCAGCAACAAGATTGAACTCCGCCACCACACATGACCCCGGAATCCAGATGAAATCCCCTGGCTTCATACGGCAACCCATCCCTCCAGCGTCACTGAAGTCATCCCCAGACATAGAAAGCATATGACTCGCCAAGGTTGCAACAGTGCGGGCAGCACCTGGCTTTGCTGCAGCAAGACTAGCAGTAAGCGACTCGTATGGCATAGCAACAATCAGTCTCTCACCTGTGAGCTGGAACTTGGCGACAGGAGCCAACATGTCTGTGAGCCCAACACTGTTCCAGGTCAGTTTGGTGTAAAGCATCTTCAGAGAGCACATCCTGAGCAATGGACGGTTTGGCAGCGGCAGGAATCCAGCAAGTAAATTACACATACATACACTAAACACTTAAAAGCACGTGAACACATAACATGTGGCATCATCACCAAGACGGCACACTTTGTAATATGGGGCAGGTGTCTTAATCAAATCTTCTCTGACGTCACGTGGGAAACTGTTGAGATGTTGCGAGAAGAAGGATGACCCAGCCAAAGTAAACTCCAGCGGATACAATCGTTCTTCTTGGAACACCTTGGTCAGAAGACGCCACAAACACTGCAACATCAACTCATTGCCGTTTTTTTTTTGAGTTGACAGTCAATGAGTCAATAGTGAACTGAACAGGAACACTATATTAATATTGGTTTTGTAATTTGAATCAAGGGACTATCTCTGCGCTTGGCAAGCCCAAGTCTCTGCGTTGTTTGACTTCTTTTAGCATGTCGTCTCGAAGTTCTTGGAATATATTGTCCCTTGGCAAGTTTCCCAAACATGGAGAAGGCAAAGACTGTTGAAGATATCCGCACGTAGTTGGCTTCGATGCATCAGATGGAAGTCCATGTATCATCGCATCGCCAAAGATAGCAGTCTGAGAAGGATCTGCTGCTTGGTGAAGACCCCACAAGATATTCCGAAGAAGCTGAAATTCCTCTAAGTCAATGTTATCCATAGATGGTGGTGGCATCACTGTACCTATCGGCTCATCTACCCCACCCTGAGGCGATGGCAACGCCTGTGCATCCGGCTCATTCTCATCGCCTGAGATTGAAGCTAAGGGAACTCAATTTAGCACAAGACAAGACAAAGCCTGAACAGCGGAAGAAAACAAAAAAAAAATCCAGCTCTAGTCTAGTCTAGTGCCACCCTAGTAACAGGCCAATTCCTCCCGTACAACATCGTTGAGGCGGTCGCTGGCATTGGTCAAACACTGAACATAGCCAGACAATCTCTTCCTGTAGTCCTTCATGGATTTCTCTTTCAATTGACCTGTCACTTGAAAAAGTTCAGACCTCAATTCTTGTGAATTTGGCGAGAGCTTTGAAGATGACTCTGAAGTCTCTGAAGATCCAAAGGCTTGCAATAAATCCCAGCGGTCACAGACAAGACTCCTGTGTGCGCTGAGCGATTCGTGATTCATGGTCGACTCCAACTGGTGATTGATTGGCTTGCGCCAGGATTCAATCGTCTCCGCCTAACCAATTGCACCCAATTGCCAAAGAACAATGAACACAACAAGAAATGACAACACAAGAACAGAAAATACACCATACATTCTGACACCATTTCGACACCATACATTAAGTTATAGCCACATCATGCACACTAGCCGGCTAGAGTGCTACCAAGTTGCTGTACTGCGTTGCAAACAAATTTGCTGACGCTTCAAATCAAGCTGGAAGAGCTCTTCATCACGAACTCGCTTGCGTTTGCCGTCATCCTCTGGATGTTCATTCTCTTCCCCCATCTGACCTTTACCCTTGCCCTTACCCTTCTTGGCTCGGGGTTTGGCTTTGGCTTTCCCTTTGGGGGCACAAATAGCAAGAGGTGCATTCAGCCCTGGCAAGGCTGGCATCTGCTGGAAGTGATTCACACCTCAGCAAATCAATCGCTCCAGTCAACTCCACGTCCACACATCACTGATATGAACATGTCCATAGTATCCATAGTACATAGAATCAAAGCATTTGAGGTATCGACGAGATTGATCAAACACTCTGGTGTCTTGGTGCAAAGAACTGTTTGTAATGGCTCCTTGGCAACTCAAGCTGCTCAGAAATGAAAGCATGAAGTTGGCATGAAGGAAGCAAGGCAAACATCAATCATCGGAATACATGACTCAGAACCGACTGAATATTTTTGTTTGTTTAATTCGTGAAAGGCACTATTGAAAGCGTCCGCCAAATCTTCTTCTTCAACACTGCGGCTCTTGCCGACGATTTTGCTGTGGCTAAGTTCACGGGAAGAACTTGCAGCAGTGATGGTCAACAACGAGCACACAGGTTCATTGTAGCTGTCATTCGCCCAAACAGCATTCGGGTTTGACTTAGCGGCCTCCCATTCAGCCTCATAGTCCTCATCCTTCCAATCGTAGCGTTCTTGGAGAGCTTGAATGAACCTTGGATCGAAATCAATGTTTGAGGAAAGTCTGGGTCAGGTTGAACACAGTCACTGGTTTCATACAGCAACACCCTCACGTGTGTGTGTGTATATATATATGTGCTGTGAGTCTTCTAGGATAACACACGTGTAGTGTACTCTTGCTGTCATGCAACTGTTTCCTGGTGAGAAATGGCTTTGTTTGTCCCAAACCCATCTTGTCTGAACATTCAACCTTCTCCTTCACCTTGTGCTCACGTTGGATGCCACGGCCTTGTCCTTTGTCCTTGTTATCAACAACAGCCTGGCGTTTTTTCTTCAACTGACATTGCTTCCCATTCAGCTCCACGGTTGGCTCGCACAAACCATCCTCGAAGACTCTTACGTGCACTGTGGCAAGGACGGCACCGCCGTCTCTTGCATCTAGCACCACCACAAGGCACAGAATTTGAGATCATCACAAGATCCTCACAATCCACGCACCTGAGACTGACAAAACTTAAGTAAGAGATATCAATTCAATACATAGTACAATGTGTATACAGAGTACAACATCTAGCAAGAGTACAAGTACGAATGCCATCAACATGCAAACCAAATGACTCTACTTCAGCATCAGCATCTGGATCCATGGTGCTTGCTTTCCGCTTACGGGATGCATCGGTTTGCACTGGTGGAGCAGGCGTTTGGGCCTGAGCTGACTCAGGCACAACCTGCCGCCCGTGGTTGTCGCCTGGAGCCGGAGCCATGCTGACACAAGGAGACCTGCTCTAGGCTGAACGATCAATCTATTTCAGACAGACCCAGTTTGCTCAAAACAGCTACAGGGCACATGAAGAAACTTCCAACCGCAGACTTCGTCCTGCTACAAGTTGCGACACGTGATGAACTTCTACAGTTTCTGAGTTGTAGTGCAAACATCAAGCAACAAAGTTGCTGCTGCCTCAGCAGAGTTCCTCCAAAACAACACAAGCATCAGCAAACCTCTATGCATTTCATGCTCTCACGGTGGCCAACCAGAAGTGTGCAGTCCGGCAGTGCAGTGTTAGCTGCAGAAAGCGATTGCTCTTTGCTGTTCTGTGCAACTGCACACAAGCAACACATATGCAGTGGTTCATGTGCAGAAAGAAAGAAACATGTGCAGCCCTACAGAAGTGGGTTTGTTACTTAATTATTTTTCGGTTCTCTAAAATGACAAGATGTGCAGTCCGACAGTTCATTTCTAATGTGCTAGCCAAAGAAGGAGCTTGCCCCCCTTCCCGTTCTGTACAACAGCACACAAAGCCACACCCATGATTGCTCACTTGTTCATCTGACAAAAAAAAAAGCGCATAGACACAAGCTCGTCCGATTGCTGCCGCGTGCATCATGTTGCCAGCCAGCTTACCTTAGTCAGTCAATGGAAACAACCATCGCAGACCTGCAAAAACGTCCTCTGGCAAAACTGATGTGCAGTCTTCAGCTACAAAGAGACGCATGAGACATGTTTCCAAAATCCATCACTTTCAAGCCCATTTGATGCGCAGCTCGCGGCTCCACAGCCAGGCCGTGGGCATATAATAGTTCGATTCCATCTTAGGATGCGATATGCATGAATATATGCAATATACTCTTTAATAGGTTCAAAACTATTGGCTTGAACATCTTTGCACAACCAAACCAAACCAAGCAAGCAAGCGCATCAACTAGAATTTAGTGAAGCTCTGGGACTCCTGCGTATGTATCGATCGAATGTAGAGGACCAAAGGCCGGAAACACCTGTTGTCAAGGTTTGCAGAACCCCATCCTTACTGGCCATTCGGGGGCGGCAATCCGGATTCTGAACTGTGTCGTAGGCCAGTCGCCCTGGATACAGAAGACGATATCGTTGCAGCCCTCAGTCCAGAACAAATGAATTTCTAGACTGGAACAGCATCAAACAACAAACTTGCTGCATCAGCCTTCCTCCAAAACACAAACACTAGCTGACAAGCTGAGATAAGTACTCTTCTTTCGTGATCCAGAACAAGATGGCAGCCCATGCACATCATAGGTATCGGAACAGATCAGGAACATGTCCATGGTGCAACTCGGGTCCAAGTCTATCTTCAAGGTTTGTACCAGTGCCTCCAAAGTTGTTGATTGCCTGGACGAGAACAATCAAGAGACAATTTGTTTATACCCATATGGTACTCATTGAGTAATGAGTGTGGCCAACTCAATCACCACTTGCGATTAATGCAGTGTGGCCAACTGAACTGACAGCAGCCTGACGGTTCTCCTCAAAGTAAAGACCGCGTAAAGCCTTGTCCGCTCAACTGGCAAGCCACAATCTTTGCTCGGGCTGATTGTAGCAGTCGTCACATCGTAATAGTCTCAGCCACAAATCAGAAACAAGAAGCTTAACAATAGTTGAATGTGAACCTCATACAGGTAAGTATTATATGCACACAATGTACAGTTTGCAGTTTGTTTTAGCAAAAAAAAAAAATCTTCTCAGCATCACAGTCACTGGCAAGCACAGTCTTTCAACTCACACCAAACAATAAAATAACTACCATAGCTAATTACAGATTAAGCACCAGGCCTTGCAATAAATCACTGATCTCGTGGATCGGAAACTGTACAACATTCTCGTGCAGCAGTATGTCGGGCAAGGATTGCAGAATCGACTTGATGAACACCACCAAAAATTGAACTGTGGGTCCCATCAGGCCTGAACCTGAACCAAAGAGCGAGTAGTCCTAAGCTTGCAGCAGATGGACGGGTGACAGTACCAGTGAATAAACCTACAAGCGCAGCTAACTTTGACCAGCCCGGGCCCTGACTAAGCCCAAGTCAACACATGGCGATCCAGCTATCACAACTGCTAAGCCTTCTTCAGAATCTCTATGTGCACTGAAAAGCCGTCGACAACTTGTGCCGCATCGAAAACACCTGAGGGAAACGTTAAGCCCAGCACAGGTTGAAGTTGAAATACTCAATTGACATAAGACCCGCACATGTCAGTTTCATTGAGCTTGACGTTCTTGTTCATAATGCGGGTATAGTCAAGCATTTCATGAAGAGATCGCCTGACCAAAGTTGCTCGACACTTCAGAAGTGTTGAGCATAATTGCTCGACCCAAGCTCAACACTTCTTTTAGTCATGCTAAACCCAAGCTCAACACTTCTCATTTTACTGCTCAACACTTCTAGAAGTGTTGAGCAAACTGCTCAACACTTCTAGAAGTGTTGAGCATGATGTTGAATTATTTTGGGGAGTTCAATAACAATGCTCAACCCTTCTGAAGTGTTGAGCACACTATACTTCTGAATTTTGAATTCAGAATCGATTGGACCAGCCTGCGAGAAACAGTAAGGTTCATTTTCTTGTCGTCATCGCCAAACGCCAGCAGTGCCTGACAAAACGGCTTGGGTATGGTTTCTTTAGCAGTAGAGAGGTTGCAGCCTGAAGGGAAGTTCTGACAAACGTCTCGCTGCCCTTGTATGATAGTGTTGCGCTCTTCGGGATGGTGAGCAGGTCCTTCTTCAGAGTACCTTCAGCTGTGCTACTGGGGCCAAGTGTTGTCATCTTCTTACAACCAACACTTTAAATTGTGTCTGGATACCATTTTTGAGGAAGAGTGAATCTATCGCATTTGATGTAGCCTTCTTGGATGCGCGATTTGACAATCCCAGGTGAGATCGCAACTGCGCAGCAGTAATGCAGACCTGTAGAACAGCATCGTGAATGGGCAGAGCCACCACAGCACCAAAGAGATATTGAGGTCTAAAGAGACAAAGAAACATTCAAATAAAGCACCACAAAGAAAGAATACCATGCTGCCTAAAGGCTTCAGAAAAGAAGCATGTGTCCTACTACTGATTGGCCTGGCCTTCTGAACCAACCTTGCCTCAATCTGGTCTTGCAACTTCTTCGGACACAGCGACATAATGTCTCCAAAGCAACAAGTACAAGGTTTGTTGATTGCAAAAGTGTCTCTTGCAGCCTTTGCCCAATCTGCACATGAGACACAATTGATTTCGACATGCTTGTCAGCACTCTGATCTAAATTGTAGAGTACACTAGCCGCTGTCAAGGATTCTTCAGCTGTGCCAACTCCACTGAATTCAGTTCTCAATGACACTCTCTTGGAAATGGGGTTCAAAGACTGCAAGTCCAACTTGTCGGCTATACGGCGGTTCCATGCTTGCAAGTGAGCTGTCTCAGTTGGTGCAAGCAAATGTCCAGCTGGTGTTGGCTTTGGCTCAAAAGACCTTTCCAGCCTCCTTGCAAGGACACAGTCCAACCCAAGCAATGCCACACTCAGTCACACTTAGTTACAAAAAACTAAACTTCAGTTGAGCATAAGATAACGGTGGCAAGAACACATCTCCTCCTTTTTGGCTGACTGCCCTCAGACACAGACCTTGCAACTGCAGCAAACCACATACCACAAAACACCAATGAAGATGTGTATTCCTGCTGAAATTCCTGAGGGTCCAACCCAATTTGTTGAACAGGAACACCGATGGAAGTGTCGTCATCATCAGCCATGTGAACAGAAGGCAGGCGGTCTAGACTCGTTCCCTATCTACCAAACAAGTCTTGACCTGAACAAGCTTGAATCACCAAATGGTTCAATGCTTGTTTCAGTGAGACCTAGCGACACGACCAAGGAGCAGGCTGCAGGCTCTACAGGGGCAAGTTTTCAGGTTCAATTTGGTCTGGGGACAGCATCAATCGACAGTTTTTATCGATTTTACTGCAAAAGCGAGAGCTTGCTCATTTCAAGTTCAATGCATTTTCTTAGCAAACACATACAGCTTCCGACTTTGGACACATGTATATATGAATATTGAAAACTGCGACAGCACCTTGATCTACAATCAACAAGAGCTTTCTGATTATCACAACATGTTCACAAACACAATTGCACCAGCAGCTCTCTGAATATCGTACAATTTCTTTGAGTGTGTACTACTGTGCAATAAATTGTCGCCCTGAAATATAATCCTGCAAAGTGTGGAAATAATGGGTCAGGATTGCATCACACACTGTACGCTTCCTAGTGTAAATATCCCAGCGTCCCCAAAAACCGGCTCCGTCTTTGGAACACTGATCTAGTGCTGCATTGACTAGATCACGTGGAGGTTTGAGGGTGTTCGCCGGGTCCTTCAAAAGAGGTAGCAAACGAGGGAGTGCTCTTTCCACAATGGCATCTCTATAGGCACTCTTCCTGGGAAAGAGCACATCCCAAGGAACTTGTGGTTGTTGTCGAGGCACACCTTGGCTTTCCTGAACAGGTTGCTCAGGTTCATTCGCCATCGGTTCCCCACCGCCAGGTTCCTCACCGCCATCGGTGTCTGAATCACTTGATCCACCTCTTCTGATATCTCCTACGCATAGAACGAATTAGGCTGATGATTTGTTCATGAGGTTTTGAGCGTTGTTCAACTCTTTGTACAGAACAGGTTTTATTTTCTAAAAACCACTGCACCTTCTTGCCTTTGAAGCCACATGTAAAAAAAGCTCCCTAAGCCCCCAAACACCACCCGAAACCCAAACCAAACAGCACCAGGCAACACAGTACTTGTGCAGCAAACTGGCAACACCACACTGCGAAGTCAGGTTTCATCATGTTCCTGCTTCTATGCTATTTCTCAAAAATACAGGTTGATTTTGACAATATAGAACCAACAGTTTCAATGTCATGGTGTACTAAGTGTTGATCGACCATGTACAAATCACAACCCCAAGTGCACACATTCCCAAATTCTTGTCCTTCAGCGCTTTGTGACAGCAACTGCACCTGTTCCTCAGCATCAGTTTCCATGCGGTTGTGGAAGGCAGCATCTGAAGAAAAATCAGGAGCTCCTTTGTCAGAGAGCTCAGATGAGTCTGACAGTAAGTCCACAAGCTGAGATGGCTCAGCTGCAGCAGCACTCAAACGCTGTGTAGTTCGAACTTGATTTGATGTAGCGCGACGCCTCCTTTTCGCCGTTTGCTTTGCACCTTCAAAGAACTCACGAGGATCTTCCACGCCTGGCTCGTCTTGAAGAAAATTTTGAAGCTGTGTATAGTACCGAGCAGGTTTGTAGGTCGGAACTGTGACAAGCATGTCTGGATGGACAACTAAGGCCAGCTCGATAGTTTTGTAGTACTCGGCACTCTGTTTGTGGTGGAAGTATCCACTTTGCTCACGCTCCTCAAGCATGTCGGCAAAGTTTGTGATTAAGGTAAAGTAAAACTTTGGGTTTTCCCGCAGGCACTTCCGATGTCGCACAGAAGCCTCTTGAAGAGAATCCACAAAAATCCAGCCACTTTGACTGAGATCAGATTGAGTCTCGAGACTGGATTTGAGCTCAGCAGATCTAAGGCTTCTCTCCAGTACTGCTGAAGAAGCACGTACTCCATAGCTGATTGCATCACGGGACAAAACCATTCTGCCATCATCCAACTTGTTTGCAATACCGTGTTGCAACAGCCAGCTGGCGAGTCGGTTGTTGGTCTCATTTGGTAGAAGTCCTGCATTGTGAATAGCTGCAGAGCAAACAAAGTGAGCCTGTTCAACCAACAATGCATCAAAGGGTGCTGGGGCAGACTCTTCGTCAGAATCATCTGCATGGTCAAGGCTTCGTTGAATGCTGAAGAAGACAGTTGCAGAACTGGCTGCACATCCGTAAACTTGTAGAGCTGTTCCCAGCGGTTCTTCTGAAAAAATGAACTCTTTGACAAAGGCTCCACTGAGCTGCAGAAGGAAGTCAGGGATGGCAGTTCAATTGCAGCTTCATTTTGACACTGCACGGTGACAGTCCCAAGAATATTCACTGCCAAGGTGTTCTTCCAGTCCTGAGGAGTGTTTTTCCGATTGGGAAACACACATGCTAACATGCAAAACTAAAAAGATAGAACATGTTTGACCCTGAAGTTTCTGTAGCCACAAGTTCTTGCAGGGGGGGCTCAGGCTTTAGTGTTGAGGGTCTTCTTGGAGTCTTTGAGTGAGTACATGGCAAAAGGACGCGGCGCTCTCTCTCAAGCCTCAAACCTTGAAGATAGGCTATGCTGCCACATTGTGGCAGCGACAATTCCTGACTCTCAGCTTTTGAAAACAGCAAACAGCCAACATAGGCCTCACTTTTGACATTTGGAGCAGCTGACCGTTTGACCAGCGTCAGACCTCAAGCGAGGCTGCCTAATGGCAGGCTGCTCAGACCATCCCCAGTTTCTGAACACTTGGGGGCTGACGCGGCTGGTGAGCAAACTAAAGCTCCAGCCCTACGAATGGCCACAAGCAAGGAGAAGGAGACTCACTACATATAATTCAAACTACAAACTACAAAGAGAAGAGAAACACGGCAAAGACTAAAGACTGCAAGCACCGTTGGCTCACACTTCAAATGTGCAGGCCCCTCTGCGGGTAGGGGTCTTGGCGATCTTTGGCTTCAGCTTTTCCCAACGAAGAATGCGTTGATCAGGTCGTCGCAGAGGCCTAATCACCCAGTCATGCTCTCGCATTCTTGACTTGATCCAGCGAAAGTATCCTTGGCGAAAGAAGGCGTCTTGGTCTTGGTACTTGTTCATGTGACGGAGATTCACGAAGTCTTCCTTTGCCTGTCGCATGAGCTTCTTCCACTCCGTCGGGCAGAAAAACGGTTCTTCAATGAGCAAATCTGGCAAGCCCACATCAACCCCGGGGTTCACAGAAAGAGGCCCTGCCCATGGACGATGAGGCCGTCGTGGCCTTGGCCTTGGCTTTGGACGAGCTTTTGCCTTTGCGCGAGCAGGCGCAGGCTGCGCAGGGTGCCGTTGGACAGGCACAGGCGCAGGCACAGGTGTTGCTGCTGATGGCTGAGGCGATTGCTCTGCACCCGCATGTGCTGAATCTCCTGCACCTGCCGCCACTGCTGCTGCTGCCTCTGCCGGCGCAGGCATGGGAAGGGTCACGTCAGAGTCACCATCTGATTCACTCTCTGGCGAGGACTCGAAGGCGAACTGATGATGGTCTTCGTCAGAGAAATCAGCCATGGTAGCGCTGCGCAAGACAACTCGATTCTGAAATTCTGATTGACTAGTATCAATGAAGACTGCGCCCAAGCCGAAACTACGACACCCATGTGATTGTGTAAACTCTAAACTCGACTCCACTCCCAACCCGTTCCACCCGTTCCCTTAAACTGCGGACAAAGCGTCGTCTGATGCTAAAGCAAATGCTCTTTGCAAGTAAGATCGCCGATCTGGGTGCAAGGAAATGATCTTGAACACAATGAACTCTCGTTCATCAGCACAGCCCTGTGTAGTAGGAATTGTGGTTGGCAGCGCGTAGACGCCAACACCATTCTGGTTGGCAAAAACGCATTCCAAGTGTTCATTGTGAAGTGTTGTTTGGCGATCCTCAGTCATGAATGATGAGCAAACACACGCTTGTAACAAAAAAAGTAAACACTGGCCCCTCAAAAAAAGGACATGCAGTACAAATAGGTATATACATTGTTAAAATTTACAGTATTGCCTCAACAAATGTCAGGAATTTTCCCGGATTGAAGTCCTTCTGCGAGAGTAGCATGGCGGAGCATTTGTTGTTCTTCCCAAGTGGTATCTGGATGAAGATCATTGAGGCCATAGCCGTAAACTATCTGCAACAATTCCTTGCGAGAATTCCACGGTTGGAGCACAAGACCATCAAACTGATTCAGCAGTTCAGCTAGGGCAGGTCGAAACGTCGGGTGTGTGAGGTCACCATTGAACTTCCTCCTCAATCCAGCCATGAGTCCAGCTGGACTCAAAGCGCGGCCAGCAGACAGAGCTAAGTTTGCAAGATGATGCCTTGCTTCCAACCGTTGCATGACTGTTAGACATGTGCTGTATCCCAAAAGCAACATCTCCAACTCTTTTCGAAGGTGATGGCCACGCACTGCCCACTTGTGTAAACTCTTGCGATTCCGTTCTTCACCAAAGAAATAGTATGCAAGTGGGCCCAGTGATACTTTAGACTCAGCTTTGTCATACTGCTTCATCAAGTCCAAACAGTGTTCTCTTGACTCTGACTGGTCATTGGCTGGGCTGATGAAATGACTGCACATTCGAAGGATGCTGAAAGGAAACAAGTCCCAAAATGACCAGGCTTGAACACACCTGAGCTCCATCTTAGTCCGGCAGTCCTGAAACCCTTCCAACAGCAGTGATGCATATTGTCGATCACCATATTCCTCTAGCCTGTTGAGAGCAAAAAGTGAATCCTGACTCAATCCCAAATCCTTCAGGTCTTGTATAAACGTACGCCACGCGCCCAGGGCAAGTTCCACTGCTCTGCGACCCTTCAATCTGCAAGCCTCTTGTTCCTTTTTGGTTTGATGATGAAAGCATTGGCAGCCGTGTAGCCAGATGCTTGTCCTGGCTCCCCACTCTGAAAGATCTTGCACCACATGGCATGTTGCCCAGAAACGCAACCCATCTGGTGAATCAGCCTTTGCTACGGACAACAGCAGCTGGAGTTCGTGATCAGACATTTCCTTCATACCAGAGTCGATCTTGATGTCGTTGAGCAAGTGGCAGAACGCTTGTTTTCGTCTCATTACCCATTGCAATGTCTCAAACCTAAGCCAAGCTGAGCAACTGCACTGCACGTTGTTGACAATATACGAAAAGAATCAGCTAGACTCAGTAGCGAAAGCAAACCCGTGGTTGGACATGAAAACTCTGAGTCTGAGTGCAATCAAAGTGCACATACTGCCAACGTTGGCTGTACAGGAGTGGGCATGTTTGTTGAAACATGCTGATGAAGCTGCTCTTCAATTCTTCCTGATGTCAAATGTCATTTGGATCCAACTGAGACTGATACAACAACATTGCATTTGTTGGTGTTTGCAGACTGCAGAGTCTGCAGATTCGGTTCAACTGACGTTAGTCAAGACTATACTTACCATGGATAGTTGCGTATCTTAACTTTGATTGCACCAGCAGCAAAATAAATAAAGCGGACAATCCAAATCATTCATCTGAGAGTCTGATAGACTGTTGTTTTGAGAAATGCAAACTTTGTTGAATCGATTGCATCTTGAAATGTTGCTGAAGAATAGTGAGAGGGAATGCAAGCGAGGCTGAAAATAGCTGTCCCACTGAAAAAAATCTTCCAGGCATTCCATGACCTCTGTGTGTTGGTTGGGAGCACCTAGCTCAACAAGTTCATCCTGCAGCTGCCGCTGCCTGTTTTTGTTGGGGGTCTTAAGGGAAAAAAAATAGGCAAACAAGTTCAGGAAAGTCACGTGATGCAGCGCATGGTCCCCGTCAGGCAAAGGCAAAGCCATTCCGAAGAGTGTGTCAAAAGGCAATGATTCCCGAATGAACGACGCTGGTGACTTCCAGACATGAGATTCAGCGCCCCAATCAAATAGCAAACTCAAACATCTGCACAAAGTACCACTGAGGGTCTCACTTTCCTTGATTGAGCTTAAGGAGACAGAGACAGAGACATGCTGTTTGTTGTTCGTTTGTGCATGCTGAAGCCGAAGCCGGGGGGCCACAACTACCTACAGCTAGAACTAGAATGCTTTTGTGCGAAAGACGCTGAAACTGAAACAGAATCCAAGAAGCCAAAGACAGTTGATGGAGAAGTTTTTTTGTCTTCACAACCACCCCACTTGCTCTAGCACCCAGGGTTTGTCCAACAAGTAGCCGTGTGTACAACACTCCATCTCCGCCAACACCTTGCCAAGATGAGACATTGGCGGGGCTGACAATATCCACTTCACTCATCATGTAATCGCGGCCAAACTGTAGGCTCGCATCCAAGCGGCAATGGAGGAACCAAGGTGTCGACAAACCAAATCTGTGTTTGCGAGCCCACATCATGGATGCTAGGTCCAAGTCTATACGGTATTTGTATAGTGTGCTCTTTCGCGGAATTGAGATGCCCTTACTTACGCAGGACTTAGGCCAAGGCCACCCAAGAACTTAACACAACACTTAAAACTTTAAACAATCTATCATGTCAGGTCATTCCATTCGAGTTGACTTCAACTTGAAGTGGTGGTTGGTCTAGACTCTGAACCAACCAACGGCTTGGAGCTAAAAGTTAAAAGCTTGATGTTGAATTGAATGCTGGCCACCTGAGAAATAATGTGTTGGCAAAGTTCTGGCTGCAGCGTCATAGATAGAGACCTTAAACTTAAAGTTGTATTTTTGTTTCTGATGATGGCACCTCAACAAGAACAACACAATTTGCTTGGGGTTGCGCAAAACAGCCTAACAACAAAGGTTCAACAAAGCAAATCAGATAGCTCAAATGACAGCAGAGGCTCTCTTTAATTGCCGACTCCATCGAGGAAAGTTCTTTTATATGGTCTGCCAACAAAACCGCATCCAAGATGTAAGTTGGAAAATACGCACTCCCTCCACGCTCTCTGGATGTTGTGCCCTTAACAACCTCAAATGATTTGAGTTGAAACTTGTCAGAATGATTCTTCAGTGTCAAGTTTCATCATTTCACTCTGGGCGATACTGGTGTCGTGGTATAGACAAACACTTGTTCACCAGCCTTGATTAAAATCACAGCGGTCAACAGTGTCAACAGCAAAAAACATTCCCTGAAAAGTGTAAGTCTTAAGGCGAGAAACTTTCAATGCCGTGACGATGTCGTCAAGGTGGGCCAGTGCAGTGTGTTCTCCCCATTTAGCAAGTGAGTCTCTTATGAAACTGATCAAAACCATAATGGCCGAATCCTGCGCTTTGGATGCCACCGCCACTTGTGTTGACAATTCGGAATGGTTCTCCAACACCACATCTGAGTCTGGGCCAGTGCCAACTTTGAGTGTTTTGGATTTACAAATCTCAACCCTATGCAGATCCGAGTTGCTCCATGGGCATGCAACCCCCAACACAGCTTCCAACTGCTCAAGACTGCAATGTGTTTCGATGCACGATTGCTCCAAAATGCTTCCACCCATCACTTGAATCTGAATAGTGCCATCAAGTTTTCAATAGCTGTAGGTCTTCTTGCGGAATCCGCGTATTGGAGCGACGTCCTTTGGATTTGGATGCTGCTTTGACATGCCCCTCGAACTGTGAGTTGACAATGCTCTGCGTAGCAGCTGTATCACGCACATCTAATCCGACAAAGAAGTCTCCATTCCGTTTCCAGATCCAAATGACCCCTTCCTTCGGCAACAAGTACTTTCCCTGAGTTCCAGTTCTTTTTTTCTGAGGAGGTTCTGCATGTGGCTTACGCCTTTGGTAAGATTGAGTGCTAACTGGCGCATCGTCATCCATGGCATGTGGGGCTTTCCCCAAAGGCGAGCATGTAATAAGATGCGGATCCTGCATGATGTGTATATATATATAACATAATTATGTATGTATGTATGTATGTATGTATTTATGTATGTGTGTTTATGTATTTTCCAGATAGATCCCTGGATTCTGCCAATTTCAAGTATTCCTGCACTGGACCTCCCAGTAGCCTGCATGGCTACTCGCTGGCCGGGCTGCTCGACACCACGTGTGTTGTTTATGCACAACACGTACTCTAAAAAGTGCCTCCCAAATCTCATTTTTTAAAACCACCTTCCCAACAGACTTATCTTATTTTTTAGATCCTCAGCGGAATCAGTAGCGGAGGAGAGGACAAAGCCGGTGTTCGGTTTAGCTGGACATAGATGTGGAGGCCCAGGCACTTCTTTTTTGAATGGAAGGTGGGGATGTGACCGGGATGTGCATTGTGTCTCCGCAGGCCTTCGTCGATGACCCGGCGGCATCCTTACGGGTCGCCTTGAACGGCAAATGCGTGAAGTTTCACCCCACAGACTTGTGGATTTGGGGATTTGAAACCGTAGCGGTGGATTTCGCCGTCAGCAGCAGTGCAAAATATGGTTGGTGTTTTGAAGCTTGCACTTTTGCTTGTGGAGGATTTTGAGGAACCTGGCTCTCAGCCAGCAGTTCGTGCGCACAAAAGCTCTGCCAAGGCCTGGTTATGTGATGGGCCTGTTCATTTTCTTGATTGGCAAAACGCAAGACTGGGCGCGGACAGTGCC